GAAACTCCTCTATGCTTGACAAAAGACTGGAATTCAACGGTCCTCTGCAGCCTCAGATCTCAGGTATTCCTGCACAGCCCAGGCAGGTGCCAGATTCCGGGTGGCCCATTAAACATGCAGAAATAACTTGGGAGTCTGCAATTAAACCCTTAACAATGGGTTTTCATAGACTGGGAAATAGGTTTTCCAGATGAAATGGGTCACAGGTAGCAGGTTAAAAATGAGACATATCCTTTTATTAAAGAGCTCATCTCTGGGTCTCTCAGGTAACCCTCGCCTTGCCAGGTTATATTTACCTCAGCGACGCCTTCCTTTCAGCATCAGTTGTCTGAACTGAGCACCCATGAAATCTCTCCTGTTTGGGTTACCTGTGTGCCCCTGGGCCTCTCAGACCACATCTTCTCTTTCTTTTCTTCAGCTCCCCTGCTGCCTTCCTATCCCAAATTCTGATTCTGCCTCCTATGTGAATAAGTGTGCTAATTCAACCATTATCTCTCCAATTCTTATCCTTCTTCTGAACCCAAACCCATCACTGTTAAGGCTGTTCACACTCATGACAACTCTCCTTTGAACTTCTGAGACTGTAAATCTTAATGGAAGGAAACTATCTCAGCTTCCTCCCACTCAGTGTCTACTAGTTAACGTTGAACTTCTAGGTCACCTGGTTGGCAGCATAGCCTACTATGTCCCCACCTGCTACCTATTCCCTACTCTAGAGGTTCCAACTTTGGCGTCTGATGCAGTGCCCAATAATAGTACCAACAGGAGTGCTCTATGGTGTAGACTCTATTCTTATCCCCATTCAGTAGATGAAGGAAACTGAAGTCGGTAGAGTTGAATGACTTTCCTAAGACAATTAGAAAATGGTGAGTGCTAAGTATTTAATTGTATCTCCAAAAACGTTCGTGTCAACTTGTCTTGGCCTCTGTTTTCAATATTAAGTAATTAGTGATCTGATGCAGTGATCTTGTATGCTGTAAATCCTCACATCTATAATGTTAATGAGGAGTGCTAATGAGTCAGGACACCATTTACAAGATCAGGTTGTTTTACAAGCCTTTGTCTCTTGAAATATGAAAGACACAAAATAGAAGAGCAGGAGAAGAAGGGACCTCTAATCACCAAGAAGGAGGAGCTGGGATTTCAGTGTGTCCTTTATATCTGGGGGCCCTGTGCTGAGAAACTCCTAGCTCCAGAGGAAAATTAATGACAAGAACCTTCTCCAACATCTGACAGACAAAGAGAAAGCCTGCTCCTGGAGCTGTTGTGTTGAACGTGGAATTATAGCCTCGTAAACTATGAGAAAGTAAATGGATGACTGCTCAGATATTCTGGGCTATTTCTGCTAAAGCAGCACTAGACAACTAAAACACAGGATGTAATCAGAATTCAAGTACATCCAGCTCCAAGTGAAGCTCTCAGCACTACTCTTCTCGCCTGAAATCTTTGTTCTGGATGTAGGCGCATATCTCCACTATCTCCTAGGCATCTCTGTTATGATGTTCTCAGGAGTCAACACACTCAAGCTAATTAGGAGGCTTTCCCCAACTGCTCCTTTCCCAAATAGCTCAATTCATCTCCTTCTTAGGCGAGTGTCATTTTCCTTCTTTAAGAGGTACCACAAATGATCAGACATGACTCTTGGGCTTTTTACTGAAAGTTTTCTCTTTCTCTTGAGATTCTCCTCCCTCCTTCTTATGTCTGTGTCAAGCTACCCCTGGGCGCTTCGATTCACTGAGTCACTCAAGTGGAAGAAAGACAAGGAAGATGTGGAGAGAAAGATGAGAATTCAAACTTAATTTTTGCCTATTTCAAGTTAGAGGAGCTTAGCTGAATCCCTACACATGAAGGAGGTAGGCAATATCAGCAACCATGCAGGGAGGGGGTGAACATTAGAATCAATGAAACACAAACTTAGAAAACTAAGATTCCAGGAAAGTAAGTTCTCAAGAAATGATAATCACCATTATTAGTACTATGATTGTCTCCATTCTCTCCTCATTTCAGTCAAAATCACTGAGTGAGTTCTCCAAATATTCCTTCCACCATGCCACTTCTCTGCTCAGGACCTGCAGACATTGTGCTGCTGTAGCATCAGATAAGTGCTGAGTATTATAGTTATATGTGATCTCGTTACAGCTCCATGAAGACCTGGGAGACAGCAATGCCACTCTTATTTTACAGATGACAAAATCCAAACTAACTGGAAGCTTTGAGACATAAAAGCAATTTCTACAAGGTCACACTACTAGAAAGGAATGCATTTCACAGAAGACCAATATTGCACTCATTGGCCAGCTTGAACTAGCAACAGGAACCCATTCTACAACATCAATCCCAGCCCTCAGAGAAAGAAGAGGCATCAAGGGGGATAGTTAGATGCACGAGCTCAAGTCTGAGCTCTAAGCGGATTCTTTGCCACTGTGTCACTCAGTTACCTTGTGTAATCCATCAGTAAAACAGGGATGGCAGGAGCTTCCTTCCTCATGGAGCTTCTAGGAAAACCAGTTTATGCTGGTAGCTCATTGAAAATATTGTCTGGTATGCATGAAACACCATGTATATCGCGGGTAACACAGTCACAGTAAGTCCCACACCTACTGCAAGTACCACATACACAGGGAGCATCCTACTCCAGAGGGTACTGTCACGCTTAAGACTCACACAAACGCTAGCTGTTACCAAGAGCAGCACCTCATGGCCTGCCTCTTCAGAAAGCACAGAACATCAATCACTTCTGTCTCATGAAGTGGTCCTTTAGTGATTTTTCACGTTCATTTTCCCTCCTCAAGCTGGCTCATCTGCATACTGATGCTCTTCTCTCTGGGCTGTTCTGTGTGACTGCACACAGTAGGACCTCAAATTACCAGCCTACTCTTTAGTATTGCCAGTGCTCTTTTGTAAGGGATTCTTTTGCCGTCTATTTTGTTTTCCTTTCTTTTGTCCTTTTTTGGGTCATGGGTTTATAGACAGATGTGGGCAGCCTCATGAGGTCTGGTTTAAGCCTCAAGAAATGACTGGACACAGAGAAGAAAGTCCTGTTCTTATGGAGCCTGGTAAATGAAATGATAGAAAAGCCTCAGCTGGCTTTAGCAGACGCACATGCCCCAGCTGACCTTCATGGAACAGTGAGTGGCAAATGACAGCCAGCCAAGACTCAGAGGATCTTTGACTCTGGAAGGAAGACATCTCCCTGGGAGTCAGAGAACAAAACTTTGCAACTGATACTCTCTTTATAAACCATCCTGCCCTGAACACTGCCCAGGATTCCTCGTGCTTTGTCGACACAATGACATCATCATGACCCAGAAGTCATGATGAGCAAAGTCCACCTAAGTTTGTCCAGTCTCACACACCAACCCCTTTACAGGAATTCTCGCACTGTTTCCTTGTCCCTAAGAGGTTCTCTGTTTTTTAATGTGTTCCCAAATAGAACACATCCAAAATGTTGTGTTGATTTTAATCTGCCAAGTCTTTTATATCTCAGGTTGGTTGGATGCTGGGGAAATGAGCTAACCACAGCTCAGTGACTATGTAAGAGAAAAGCTTGCTTTTGTGGTGCCAACACATCTCCACAATTGGCGTGGAAACAACAGCACAACAATGTCCTGCTTTCTTTGAAAACATCAGTGACATGCTGTGGAGTCTTCTTAGCCTGCCATCCACCTTTGTTTCAGGAATCTTCAGTAATGTAGGGGAACAGCAGTGTTCGTCCTGTCCAGGAATAGACAAGAGACTGTACACCTAGCAACACTGATAAGCAACTGGTGACAGTCACTTCTAAAACCATGATGCTGTGCGAACTAATCAGATCAAACCAAGGTTCACTGGCAAAGAGTCAGGTGGTTGGGTCAGCCATGGTGGCAGAGCAGGGCACACACTGGGCATCTGTTTACTGTGATTGACTCTCTAACCCCTTTAGTCTTCAGACTAAGAACTTTGCTTATTCTCTCGAGGTCACCCAGTCTTCACTGGCAGGAAAGCAGCACCAGCCTTGCCAGGTGTATGATCTGCGTAGCTCATTTCACCATTCATGCTTCGCCAAGGAACAAAATCAGCAGACAAAAAAAGGTGATGGGGAGTGTGCAGAGGGAGAAAAAGAGAATCAGAGGTTTGGGAAAAGTGGAGCGGACCCAATGAGGAGGTGGCTAGGGGCACACCATGACTGCGGCCATGTGGATGCCACGGTCTTGCTGGGCCTTCCTTCCCTTTACTCAAGCAATCATACTGCCTTTGAACATATGGTGAATGGAGAGGTGAGACAGGTGCACTAGAAAATGCTCTTTGCTCTCAGTCCCTATGTCTTAGAAGGGACTAACAGTCCCTGCTCCTAACTGTATGAAAAGGCACAATTGACTTAGCCAGAGTATAATAGTCCACTGGATAGTGTTTGGTTCAAGGATGAGCCCACGACTGGATGAGAACCAGTATGATTCAAAGTCAAGCTTTTGTCAACACTACTTGATCAAAATGCTTCAGACATGGAGATGGAAGTGGAGCTTTTGCACTGGGATAGGAGGAGTTGACGGTGTCTACCTGAGTGTGAACCCAAACACAAGGAAAATGGAACCATAAGATAGAGACAAGTAGAGAATGAAGCCATCCTTCGTACACCAGCACAATCATTCCCGGAGGCAGATCACCCTTGGAATAGCTGAGAAGCACAAGGCAATCAAGTCAAACATCCCCTATTCCACATTTTATGAGCTGAGTGTCTGTAACGCTCAGGATAACAGAACACTTGAAACAACAGAAGGACCCTGGCCAACATCAAGCCAATGATCCTCAGTTTGTTTTCCTTTTTCCTCATTGATCTGTTTTTAAAATGCTAATTTGAGTGAAGGTTTACAAAACAAACTGACTTTTCACTCAACCATTCATACACTTTTTAAATAAAATTAATTGCAGTATCTCTAATGTAATAAATGACCCATTTCTCACACACCACGGACAGACCCTGGACCCCCTTGGACCTAGCTTGGCCCGAGCAGCTGCATTACCTGTAAGGAGCCCTGGATGTCTCTGCCCCCGATGATCACCAGTTCTGCCATGTCTTCTGCATGGGGTGTCCGTGCATGAACGAACAGGGTCCTGCCCACTGCAGTTACATTCCTCAGGGCCACCAAGCCCCCATCACTGTTCACCTTGAAGTATGGGCTGGAGACTTCATAGCGCACCTTGTTATTTCCTTTACAGTCACTGAAGGTCACTGGAAAGGAACAGAACAGAAAGAGCATGAGTAGGTTGGGCAGACCAGGAGGCACCATCCACTCAGTTTCACAAATACCTTACCCTCCAGCAACCCTCTTCTCCTTGTTCATGCTGAAGGCTCAGTGAAGACATCCCTTTGACCACTTCCTTCCCCAGTCACTGGCCTGGGTGAGTCACTGCAGGGGAACCAGGGAATGTCTCAAAGCATCATGGACCTTTAAGTTAGGTCTCCAAGATGCCGTTGTTGTTGTTGATTATCGCTGAGTCGATCATGACTCATAGCGACCCTATGAACAAAAGACCTGAAGCCTTTCTATAACTATTACTTCTCAAAGTTCATAGAGTTTCCAGAGGCACATTGTTTAGGAAGTGGATGACACTCCTGCAAATCAGAAAGTCCATAAATCATGTAGAACATTCTAGGCCGAGTCAACTATAAGTATCAAGGCATGAAAATGTGGTTAAAGAAATAATGAGGTCAGGAAAGAAACTAAGTTGGCGTGCTGGACCAGAGGCATCATCTGAGGAAAGACTGGGAATGAAGCTGAGATGTTCTGAGGAGACACTTTGGGGAAAAATACTCCCTTATGGCGGGACCCATATTTTTAGTGCTGTTGCCCTGGAGAAGGGCAAGCTCAGGTTTCTGTCTGGCCCCAGGGTAATTCAGTACATTGCAAGGCTAATTCAGTGCATTGCAATAACTGAGGAACATTAGAATCAGACAAGGAGCTCTGGAAAAATTCAGAAGAGCAAGCCCAAATCCAGAGATTAAAAACGTCAGTGGATCTGGATTCTAGAAAAGACACCCTGGTGGCGTGGCAGTTAAGCATTCAGCTGTGAGCCAAAATGGCCCAAATTCCAGCCCAGCGGCTGCTCTTGGAGTGGAAGCAGTGCCAATCGGCTGCTGTATCGACTCGGCCTTGGAAATCCCGACTTGGAACTGGCTCAATGGCAAAGGGCTCGATTTTTCTTTGATTTATAAAAAGATTTTCGAGAAGGGCAAGAGGAGATGTCGAGAAAACCAGTGACTCTGTGTTAGTTTTGTCCACAGGATGTCTGGCTTGGATTACAATAGAGGCACTGGCGGTGCAGGGAGAGGACACGTTTGAGCAAAGGTTCACACTGAATAGTTCAACCACATGCATGTGGGAGGAATAAGGACCAGGAGCCCTGGTGGAACAATCACATGGACCGTGGGGCGTTGCGCCAGCAGTGACACGACAGCTGGGCAGGCTGCCCTTTGCCTCTGAGCCTCCTGACCTGGATTTGCTCTTCTACTTCTCAGGGCGCCTAGTCCACTGTGTGTGCATATGCGTTTGTCTGCCTGCCTTCAAGGGTCCTTCACATGCTATGGAACAGGCCAGCTTTCACCTCCTTAGCTCTCTGCTGAAGAAGTTTGCTGGTTTGTTTAGCAAACTTCTCACTGAAGCGTGACACAGGTACAGGAAAGTGCACTAGCAAATATGCACAAGTCTGTGACTTCACAAAACAATCACAAGCTTGTACCCAGCATTCCAGAAACTCAGCATCCAAGAAGCAATATATTACCAAGATCCCTCCGGGCCCTTGACATCCTTCCCCAAAAAACACTCTCCCCCACCCCAGAAATGACCACCATCCTGATTTCTAACAACATAGTTTTATCTGCATCTGAACATCATACAGGTGGGCGCCTTTTGTGTCTGGCTGCTTCTGTCCACATTCTGTTTTGAGGTTCATGCACACTCCTGTAAGAAACCTTAGTCTACCTGTCGCAGTTTCCTCTTACATGACTGCCCTTGATTACGTGTCCATTCCACTGTCCACAGTCTCCTGGGCAATTTGCCCTCTTTAATCCTGCAGTTTGGCTGCGAGGGACATCTTCGTATGTGTATCTTTTGGTGGGCATCTACTTGTTCTTATTTCCATATCTACATCAATCCCAGTAGAGAACGAAAATCTTGTAAGTATCTGATGAGTGAAGTATGTTTTTCTCACAGAGGAGATGATGTTGACAGTGATAACGATCACATAAGCTGATAATAATCATAATAAAAATAAAAGCAAATGCTGACAAAATGCTTTGCACATGTGAGCCGGCATCATATAGTATTATATTTAATCTTCACAATGATCGTCTGGAGGGGATATTATTTTGATCTTCTTCCCTACATTTTATAGATAAGGTCATTGAGACTCATAAAGAGCAACGAGGATACTTATGCCTGGGGACACACACCACACACACACACATAAGGTGCTGGAGAGATCATGTATCTGTTCATGAATTATACAGACGTACCTCACTCCATCGTGCTTCACACAGATACTATGGGAGTCTCTTTGCTTGCTTTGTTTTATTTTTACAAAATCAAGATTCCATCAACTGTTTATTGAGCAAGAAAATGGAGCCCATTTCCCCAACAACACACACCCATTCTGGGTCCCGTTTTGGTCATCCTCACAGTATTTTGTATTTTTCCAACATGCTATGGCATACATTAAATAGATGGTGTTAGCATGTAAACATCACTTTTACATGTATCACAGAAAACGTGTGTGACTCTTTACCGTTATGTTATTTTTGCAGCTTTTTACAACAAGAGCCACAACCTCTGAAGGGCTCCTGTAACTGCAATATACAGAAACACCACCCTGATGGTTTTTTTGTTCTCTCCCCACCAAGAACCCATTTTCACCGCATTGGGAGAAATCTCACTCACTGAGAATGCACCATCCATGGGTGTCAACCTCCCCAGAAAGGTGGACAGAATTGTCCAAGATCACAAAGAGACAAGAGGGACAGAAACATCTGTGACCTCCCTGCCACGAGCTCTAGGGCATGTCCACTTCCCAGGAATGGCTGGCCCAGAGGAGAGACAGCAGTTGTCACTTCCTGATGCCTTTCATAAATCCGTCAGGGGCCACTAGAGATGCCAGGTCAGAGCGTACACACAGACCCAACACATTGAAGGCATCCCGCATATGCTAGGGCTCTCTGTCCCCTTGACTGAATCAAACCACTAGGGATTGCATCATTGGGTGCATATTTAAGAAACCACTTACCAACTCTGAGGCTCATTTTTTTTAAAATTGTGATTTGAACAAAACTTATGGGGTTTCATTCATTCATTGTTGCAAATCAAAGCTCATTCTTAAGATAATTTTTATTTAACATCAGGCTAATCAGGGCGCAAGAAAACAGCAGCAGTCATGAAGCTGAATGCTGGGTAAACCTACTGCACACGTCCTTTTTTAAGGTGTTTAAAAAGCAAAGATGTCATTCTGAGTACTACAGTGCATCTGACTCAAGCCGCATTTCCACTGCCTCAGGCACATGTGAAAGCTCTCCAATAAGTAAGGAAGACAGAGGGGAACGGATTCCTTTGGATCACGGTACCCGTGAGGAACCCTGACTATGCTGTGGACTGCCACAACAGTGAACAAATCTATCCCGGGAGAAGTGCCACCAGAATCCTCCTCAGAAGGGAGAGCGATGAAGCTGTCCAGGTATTTGGAAATGTTCTCAGAAAGGAGAGAGACAACATCATGAGGGGGTCAGTGACGAGGAAGGAGAGCCTCTATGAGATAGATTGACACACAGGCTTAAATCCAGCAGGGATGGAGCAGTGCTGGGAAGGTTTTGGACCCTACTGGACTGGGGTTAGCTGGAGTCAGAACCGTCTGTATGAAACCTAACAGCAACATCTATTTGAAATCTGGGGGAATATTCTCGCTCCACTTGTGGCCACAGAGGTTGAATTAACTCATAGCTGACCCTCCCCTGGGTTTCCGCGGCTGTGAATCGCACAGGAGGGTAATGCTCATCTTTCTCTGAAATAAGGCCAAGCGTGTCCCTTCCCTTTCCCAAAATCCTGATGGAATTGGGCTGGAGTCTGGGCAGAAAGTTCCTTGAAAGCTCCCCAGATGAACTTGCTGCCACCAGAGCCAAGAACCAAGACCTTGGATAACACACTGCTTGTCAAGATGCCATGTCCCCTCCCTGTACTTCCTGGTCATTCCAGACAGAGAGAGGAGGGCTGGGACTCAGTATGCCAAGAACAGTATGCCTGTGTCCCAAGGGGAAGGGCCCCGGTAATGGTAAACTTCAATACCTTCCCCGCACAGCTAACATTTAGGGCATCAGAGACTCTGGGGAAACTGCCTAGCCCCTTTCTTCCTTGTGTTTTCATCTGTAAAACGGGGGCACCTATCAGAACGTGCCTTACAGGAACTACAATCCTTGTTATGAGGACTAAAGAAGATAATGTTCACCTAATACAAAAACCGCTCAGAGCAGGCCGCAGAGTGCCACATAAGGGAATTATAGTAAGTTCATTCTCCTGGGGCCCTGGCACTAAGAGAGCTACCCTTCCCTCCAAGGTAGGCCTCTTCCAGCTGGCATTCCCACTGCCTGCTGGGTCCTTCCAGGCCTTTCTAAACAGGTACTTCTACGTCTGCCTGCCAGGTCACGTGCCGTTGCCATGGAGATGGTCAGTGGTTACTATAGGCACGTCTACTCAGATTTAGAGGAGAAGGCCGGCGGTTCAGACCGGGCCTTCACACTGCTGAATCCTGTCCACTCTCTGGCAAAGCCCCACCAGCTAACCCGAAAGCTTCCAAAGGGAAGGTGGCATCGAAGACTGGCAAGGCAGTGCCTGAACCATGCTAGATGCCAGGAAGTTGTTGATGTTGATCGCCGCTGAGTCGAGCATGACTTATAGAGACCCTATGAACAAAACACTTGAAGCCTTTCTGTAACTATTGTCGTTTCTAAAGTTCATAGAGTTTTCAGAGGTATGTCATTTAGGAAGTGGATGCCGCTCCTGCTTCCGAAAAGAAATGGGTTAGCATGTTCTACATACATAATACTAGAAAAACAACCAGGACAGCCTGTGAAAGCCAGGTCCTGTGTGGTAGTCGATTATACGCAAAGACGGCGTGTTCAGATAACTTCATACAAATCTCAGGCACGATTTTTCTAAATTAAAGAGCGCTCTGCTGAGAGTGAGAGGTGTG